CTCGAATCCTAGCTCCCAAAACTTGACCATTTTTATTGAGGCATACCACTCAGATCACTATTTATTGCAAAGAAAAGTTCTGCTTTGAAACTTGAATTACTCATGGAGAGAACATGTAGTCAGAGATTTTTTGACTTTGCAACCAAAAGTCACAGCAAGTTAAGCACAGTCAAAACTACTGCTCAACTATCATTTTGCACATGTAAAGGCCATGTAAAAGTTAATAGAAAAGTAGTTTGAATTGTTTGCGGACATGAATCAGAGACACCCAACTCGCCAACTCCCCCACTCAAAAAAAGAAGAAGAAAAAAATAAATAGTGTCATAAAAATGGAGTGGAGTGGAGTGGAGTGGAGTCCACATAAGGTTGGCAGCGACACCCGCATCCTTGGCTTTTGGGGAAGCTTCTGTGCCGTTGACATTTGTTAATTGTCAGCCTTGTGGGGGTTTTTGGTTTGCAAACAAGCAGTTGGCCAAAAGCCAATACGGCCAAAACACACCCACACACATTCACCAAATACATCGGTAAAGTGAACAACAATTGTGACAATTTAATTAACTTTTTGGTAAGTAATTTGCGCTGGCACTTTAAATAGTTGCTGGAAGACGCCTTTTGGCCTGGCTTTTGACTTGTTTTTACCTTTCGCTGCTGCTAATTACGCAAATGTTTTAACTTTAAAATGGCGTTGCCATTTCACGCGTTCTGCCCGTCACATTTACAACGACAACTGCCACACTAAGCACACCCAACTAGACACTCCCTCCCCCTTTCCTTCCGCCTCCGACTCCTCCTCCGCCTCCTGCGACGCCCACAAAACTTTGCATTTTGTTTTGTCTGTTTAACTTTTGTTCATAGCTCGCTGAGTTCTGCTGATTGTGCAGCAGTGGAAGGCATTCTTGTCACACTGCAACAAACTGCATTGCAGTTGTTGCATGCAACCTCAACCCAGCTACCACACATTTGTGACACATGCACTTGCAATTTATTTTTTGTATTTTCATGTTTTTGCTAGTTTTTGAAAATTACAATTTTTACTTAGCGCAACGTTCTGTTGCAGAGAGTTCATCACAAACCGTTTGTATGTGCAACATGGCGTCTGTGTGTTTACTGAGGTTGCATGTAATGAGTAAACGGTTGCATAAGTTTAATGATGTTGCTAAAAATGGTGGTGCAACCATTTCAATTTACGTTTGCGGTTCGACATTTTCACTTCGTTTTCCTTCAGCTTCTCTAATGAAAGTGTTTTTCAAAAATGATTTTAATTGCAATGCAAAATTTCAATTTCATCATCTTTCTTTCGTATTCAATTTAGTTTTCTATGCATTCTCATTTTCAAATATAAACTTTCTGATTTTTGCTTATTGAAATGCACAAACTGCTCCACAATTTTTCAAGCTTTTCGATATTTGAAGTTTGCAGATGCCAAGCTCCCAAATGCATTTTCATGGCAAAAAAAGAACAGAAGACAAACTAAGTCCTGGTCTTGGATTTATCCACACACAGAGAGAAGACGCCCAAAACACACCTGCAACATGAGCGCGTACACATGTGGCAGCTGCTGTCAGTCAATTTCCATTAAGTCAACACCTTATTGAGTTTTATTGTAAATTGAAAAAAAGTACAAACTACAAAATGGCAAAACAAAACAAAAATACAGCCACAGACAGACGCAGTGCATCAAGGAAGATTTTGAAAGTAAATTGAATGCAAGCAGTTGGGATACAAGTCGAATATGCAACTCTAATAAATAGAAATATGTATTAAGCTGAGAGCAACGAGTGCTGTAAATATTCGCAATTAATTTGCATAACTGGCAAACGATTGTGTAATTTGTATTTGTCACATAAATTATCACGCAATGAAAATAGTTTTCAAATATGCAGACAGAAAGCACAGGGTGTTTAGGGGTAAAGCCTAACGCAACTATCGATAAATTATAAAGCCGTTGACAATGCCCCTGCCTCCAAATAAAAACACGGACACACACAGAAGTGGAAACAGGAAACAGTAACTGACTAATTTTTCGCCTCAAACCAATCCACAATTGTGTTTTAGGTGCTTTCCCAGCACCGCAAATTTTATGCACGTTATAAATCACGACGACATCGACGACAACGACGACGACGACGGCAACGACGACTGCGACTGCGACAGCGACAGCGAAAATGTTCACATTAATTGTTGCAACGTCATTTTCGGGCCTATTGTGTCGGGCAGTTCGGTTCGTTGCAAGGCTAATAAAAGGCGTTCACTCTATGTGTGTGCTCCAGACGCCTTTGTGTCACGTGGCAATTTCGTTAAAGGAATTTCAACAATGTAGACGTTTTTACAACAGTTTGGGGCCACAGGCCATCAGCAGTTGCAAAAAAAAAACCTAGAAAAAGACTCAACTATTTTTTGTGATATAGGCAAATGTGCCTGTGTTGGTCGCTGGCAATGAAACATGACTGTTTAGTGGCGGGATTTGGGATTTGTCAAAGGCGCGCAACAACAATTTCAACAAAGCCTGCCGCGGCTGTGTAATTTTCATAATTTTACATTTGAGACCCGCAACGTGGCCAGATGAAGGAGAAAACTTCGAGTTCTCCGAGTTCCGTGCGATGAGAACGCGATTTGTTGTTTGTCCCTCAAGCGAAACCTTATTTTCATGCACAGCTACAGTTGCGGTCAAAATAATAAGTGCTGCTGCTTCTCAAAACATTTAATAAAAATATTACTCATTTTATGCTGATAATATCGAGACCTTTTTTAAAATCTATAAAAATTCAATTCTGCCAAACATGAAATGTTTGGTTTCTCATTTGGGAATGTTTTAAAATACAATTATTTAATTTATTTATTATTAACAACCCATCGCATCAAGTTTTATCAATTATAATGATCAATTTCAATTATAATTTATTAAAATAAACAAACTATAAAATTTAAGGAATTTTAATTCCTTTTGTCAATAAATTTGATCGCTATTCCAACTTTTAATGTTAACAAATCTTCAATATTGATTGCGTATTTTTAAGTCAAATTTCATAATTTTGTAACTAGATCTTAATTATTTTTTTTAAACACTACTAATATTTTGACCGCAGCTGTACATATGGATGGCTGTGATTTTTCTTTGCTGAGCACATAGCTCTAAATATAGCCAGTAATAATGGTTTGGTCGAGATAGCTCGACTGGGGGATACCCTGCAGCCACTGATAGATGAATCATAAGTCGCACACTTCTTAGGTATTCAAAGCAACAACAATCAGACTATCAAAAATCGATTGGAATCGATAAATGCAAAACGGGCAAGTTATCGATAAATTCGATCTGCGTGTGTTAGAAACTTGGATTCTCTAGCTCGGGTCTAGGTCTGGTCGACTTTAACTGTTGATCGTGTGTAAAATAATTTATTTATACTTTATGGGATCAGAGACGCTTCGTTTTACGCAAGAATGACGAATATATTAATGCAAATATTTAAATTAAACTATTTGCGTATTAAGGAAAATGCAAATATTATAATTTAGATATTTCTATCGAATAGATATCGGTCAGAATTAAGTAAAGCAAAATACTATGCTGCATATGATTATTGTTCAACAATATAAATAAATATTCATGCTTCGAATTATTTGCACGTTTGCATAAGCTACACACACGCACTCACATGAACATTCAGTAAAGTGTGTGTGTGTGTGTGGAATGAGGTGCACATAAAATGCAGGCAAAAACACTCGAAACGCAAAAGTTATGCACAATGACAAAAACAGCAAAAGGGCGTCGTTAGTATTTCAAAAACAGAAAGACAACAAAAACTAAACAAAACACAAGAGAAATGCCCAAAATACACACGCATGCACGCACACACACACACGCACACAAACAATCACACACAGACGCTTAGCGAAGCACAGGAAAACAGCAAATTACAATAATAGAAACAACAACGAAAACACTTTAGACAATTGCACAACGTGCTCCACACTTGACTTGTGAAAATATTAAAAGGCATATTTGCCGCCGCTTGGTCAGCAGACGGACAAACGGACAATAGGTGAAGCCAGGCGCAGAAGAGCAACAACAACCACAACAACAACAACAGCAGCAACAGCAACAAAACGGAAGATGCTAGAATCACGTAATTTATGGCTAGAGCCAAAGTCAGGTTACGTTTATGTTACGCATTCGCAAAAAGCTGTCAATGTTTGTGTGTGTGTTCATTTGTGACGGTGGGTGGAGGGGATAGGTGAGGTTTCTGGCACTGCAAATTAATTGTTGAGACATCGCCAACGACAACAGCTGAGCTAAGTCGATGCTGCTGCCCATGAGGGTTAAATGTCCGTCCATTTATCACCTTGGCCTGGTCAAAGTTCAACGGATGCGCCTAACGTCTTGCATGTGATCAATTAGCTTGTAACAAGTCTTGCCACCTAACTTTCCCTCGCCTCGCTTTCGCTCTGCATCTCCCATATAGCAGTATCATTCCATTTTGGCAATTCAGCTTTAAATGCAATAAATCACTATTTGCTTGATACAGAAATCAAGGATTTGAATAACGTAAGAAACTCTGCAAAAGTGTTGCCTATTCTTGTGCTTCTTTGAGATGGTAGTGCTGCCACTAAGTTACAAAAAGTAAGGGTGCTGCCACTAAGTAACAAGAAGTATGGGTGCTGCCAGACTATGTAATTCAAAATAAGGTCACACTGCTTTTAAAACTGCTACACTTAAAACGCTGCTTGAAGTAAATCTACAAGTTTGAGAGTATTTCATTTAACGTAATCGTGGGTATAATCTATATTAAATTATTAATTAAATGCTGTTAATTGACAATAGATATTCATATTCTCTTACCTACACACATCTCTCTGAGATTTAAATACGGCTGCAAGAAAAAAGAAAATATAATTTTTTTCCCAATTGAAAGTTACAATTCGTTTAAATAAGTTGCTTACGTTGCCAGCATTCCTATTAAAATCAGCTGTTTTCGCTGACAAGATTAAAAGCAATTCTAAAATTATATTCAGATAATTTTAATCAATTTATTAGCTCAGGGAATACAGTCTTAGGAATTACCAACACCTTGGATGAGTATTGTTAAAAAAATACACCAGAAAACATCCATAAGCAACTACTGCCTCAATGGAAACGGCGCCACCCAGCCGCCAAAGGTGCGCTCCAGTTGCTCGGCAACTGCGAGACAGAGGCGATCCTTGTTGTGATTGGCAACCACCTGGATACCCAGTGGCATGCCCTTCGCATCCAGGCCCATGGGCACCTGGGTGACCGGCAAGCGCAGCACATTGAACAGGCTGAAGTAACTGAAATCCATAAATTTGAGCAACGGATAATAATGGAATGGCGCCGTGCGTGGCGAGCTGTGGTAGAAGAGGACTCCATTGTCGCCCAGCAGCTGTTGCAAGTATGACTTGCACTTTTCGGTCGCCTCGCGCATCAGAGTCTCCGACTCCTTGGGCAGAAGGCTGTCGAGCAGTGAGTAAATCGCCGCCATGCTAAAGTCACTTTGACCCAACAGTTTCTTGAACAGCTCCACGAAGGGATTCAGGTCCGCGCCGTTTCCGAGGAGCTTATTAAAATTGGCCGGCTCCTGGGTCATCCAATAGCGCCACATTTTCCCCGTCAACTCTGTGGCGGGCAGCTCCGCCTGGCGCACTTGTTGCCCAGTCAGGTCCTCGAAATGCTTGCGCACCTTGTGGAGCACTTGCTCCGTTTCACGCTGGATGGGATTGCATTGGCGCATTCGATTGTTGGGCGCATAGAAGTAGCGCAGTTTCGACAAATCTACAGGCTCCTGCAGTTGCAGCATTTTGGCCTTGCTCGGCTCGAGCAGCACCTGCATGAGGGGACGCAAATCGGTGGCATAGCGCGTCATTGGACCGGCGCAGACCATTGTGTTCTGCTCCTTGCCGGTGCGGAAGGTGCATCCAGCCATGCTGATCGCACCTTCGCTGGGTTTGTGCCCGAAGATGCCGCAGTTGAAGGCGGGTATGCGTATGGAGCCGCCAATATCGGTGCCCAGGCCAAAGCCGGTGCAGCAGGCGGAGATTAGGCACGCCTCGCCACCAGACGAACCGCCCACGGAGCGTCGCAAGTCATACGGATTATTTGTGCGGCCAATGAGCATGTTGCGCGATTCCATCCACTTGTTCACCTCCGGCACATTGCTGGTAGCAATAATGATTGCGCCACTCGCCCTCATCAGGCGCACACATTCCGCATCCTCCTTGGCGCGTTCATTCTTGCGCGACACCAAGCCAAGCGTGTGCCTCCTGCCGGCAACACTGGTGCTGTCCTTGGTGGTAAACGGCACTCCCAGGAAGGGCAGAGCATCCAGCTGCTCCTTGCTGTACTTGTTGTCCGCCAGCTTTTGATCGATTTCGCTTGCCTGCTGCAGTGCATCCGCAAAGGGGCCGTCGACAATGGCATTTAGGTCACCATTAACACTCTCGATGCGATCGCAATAGGCTTTGACGATGTCGTAACTTTTCAGCTTGCGTTCGCGAATTTGTGTTGCCAACTCGACGGCGCTCTTGGCCAACATCGCCCGTTGATCCGCATTTGCTGGAGTTGCGACACGCTTGTGCGCACCCAGATACCAGCCAAATACCAGCTCCAGCAGGCGGTCGCTGATGATGTGCACCAGCACAAGTAGCGCCTCAAGTAACATCTTACAGGCAGACATTGCTAATGAGTTGTCGATCTTTTATCTACAAGATATGTTTGCCCTTTGAAACTGGAAATGCTTAAGTGAATTTTGTTGATTATTGCAGTTGGCGTTGCCACTTTGATAAACTATAAAAGCTCTGCGCAAACCGGTATGGAAAGCTCACTTTTTAAACAGCTCAACTAACGTCCGAACGAGTCTGCAATTTGCGGCTGCATGATGACTGTGTTGATGGCATGATTAAATGTACACTTTCTTATAGAACCATTTATAAAAATAAATGAAAATAACATAAGAATGTTTGTTTCCAAATGTAGTGCTGATTGCTGATTACCTAACTCTTTCTATTATTTGAAACGACAATTAAATTAAAATCAATTCGTTCATGCCCAAGTCGTAACGTGTGTGGTCCCGTTGAGCACGCAATACGCCACCACCAACAACAATAAAAATAAATATCGACCCGTTGCCGCCGCCGTCGCAGCTGTGCTGTGAGTGGAGTGTTAGTTGCTTTACCGTCGCGCTGCTAAAGCGTCGCAAATTCGCTGTGAGTATCTGTATCGAATTTTCGTACGTAAAAAAAAACACCGATTTCAAAAATAGAAAGTCAACAACTCAGTTGTATGCAAATGTTTGCTAATTTTTATTAATGCTAAAAACCTGTGCTAAATTGCATTTAAACTGCTCCACATGAGCAGAGACGAGTGTTTATTTATTTATTTTTTAAGCATGTGCATATTTCTCTTTGTGTGTGTGCGTATGCGTGTAAGTGAGTGGGTGGGTTGGTGTGTGCGTGTATGTGGTGCTGAGAAATACAGCAACTGCTTAAAATGCATATTATATTAAATTGCTAGTCAAATATGTGCACGCAAAATGCACCTAAGTTCTACGAACTGTGTATTTACCGTAAACAAATTTTGGTTATTGCATTAACTCATATTGTATGTCGTGTTTACAGTTTGTTAACTTGACATATTTCAAAAACAATCACCGCCACATTTTTCCTTATGTGTCGTAAGCTGTTTGATAAACAAACAACTTCATAAAAAAACGACAACCTAGCTTTTACTGTAAATGGTTACAAGGCGGTGTGCCGACAGGTACGCAGCTCGTCTTCAACAAATGTTCACAAACGATTATTCAACATTCGTCATTTTTAAGGTATTAACTTTCACGTATCATGTTTTACTATTATTTTCCAATAGCTTTTTTTTTAATTAAACGTATTTAAATAATAAGAATTATTTGTTATTTGTTATTTTATTTATTTATTTTTGTAATATTAACTTAATTTTAAAAGTATTAACATTTAATTTGCCATTTTATATATATATATTTTTTTAATATCGTAATTTTTAAAGTATTTACATTTCATATACCATTCTTTAATTTGAATTAATTGTCTTTTGTTTTTAAATACTTTGGAAATTGGACTGTGAACATAAATTGTACCAATGATTACTGCAAATTAACAAATCTAATAGCGATTTAGAATCAGTCAATAAAGGTAATTTACCCTAATTATTAAGCAAATCCAAAAGGCTGCTTGGCTGCACACTACACATTGTCGTTAATAGTCTTTTGTTGTTGTTGTTGATAAGAGCAGCTGCAATCTTGTATTGCTGTTTCTTTCCCACGTGATAGGCCATTTTACGCTTATGATTAATTTGTGGGTGATGAATAGTTGTCGACGCGGACGGACGGCGCTGGTGATTAGGCATAAGCCGATCGGTAAAATAAACCACCTAGAAACGGTGCAGATAACAAAGTGTAGTAAATGGCATCTTTCGATTTGGCCACTGTGCAGGGGGTGTGTATCAGGCCAATAAACGGCGGCAATTCTTTAAAAAAGCACCAAATTCCTCGTGTTGTACGTCAAATTTGTTTCAAATCTATATAGTATAATACATAAATAAATGAATTTGAATTTGAATTACAGGTAAGGCTGTAACGTGTCTAACGTTCGATGGAAATGAAGTCGCAAACTGGCGCTGGTGAATCATCGCCAGCGGGCGATGCGGCCGAAACAGCTGCCGCTTATATGCGGCAATTTCGGAATATAATTGCGGACGGTAATGTGGCCTCGATGACCCGAGAGTTCAAGCCACAGGTTGCCTATGAGTTTGAGCGCTACTTAAATCCCCAGAAGCTGAAACAGTATGTGTTACGCAGCGATAAATTACGCTCCCTGGTTGAGCATTATGCCAAGGTCAACCAAAAGCCGGTACGCGAACTGGAGAAGCAGGCACGCGCCATTATCGATGAGATTGGCCTGGATAGGAATATGGCGATAATACGCTGGTGCGGCATTGCAATCACATCGATTGGGAAACGCATATGTGATGGCTTCTTTGTGAACTCGGCCAGCATGGAGAAGGTGCGCAACAAGATGGGCAATTGTCCTGTCCTCTATTTGCCCAGTCATCGCAGCTACATGGACTTCATACTGATGAGCTATATCTGCTACTATTATGATATTGAGATACCAGGCATTGCAGCCGGCATGGGTTAGTAACAGATTCACATTATATGCAGCATATATCTTCCTGATTTCTATGGATAGTTGAGTCACAATTGTCCTTGTCCTAGCTTCAATAAGAGCTATATATCATTCTTCATAGTATAGTTAACATAAATTTCCATATATATTATTTAATCATTGAAAGATCTTGGTGAACTAATGTTTTAAATGTCCTTTCAGACTTTCACTCGATGTTTGGCATGGGCACCATGCTACGCAAAACGGGGGCCTTCTTCATGCGTCGCACCTTCTCCAACGACGAGCTCTACTGGGACATCTTTCGAGAGTATATGTACGCACTGGTTGCCCATTATCATATTGGTGTGGAGTTCTTCATAGAGGGGACACGTTCACGTAATTTTAAGGCACTGGTACCCAAGGTGGGTCTGTTGTCCATGGCACTGTTGCCCTATTTTACCGGCGATGTGCCGGATGTGATGATTGTTCCGGTTAGCGTTGCCTACGAGCGTGTGCTGGAGGAGCAACTGTTTGTCTACGAATTGCTGGGCGTGCCCAAGCCCAAAGAATCCACCAAAGGATTCTTCAAGGCATTGAAAATCATCGATGAACGTTTTGGCAAAATGTTTCTCGACTTTGGTGAGCCGATTTCGGTCCGGGAATTCTTTGGCCACAACAACGGACAACGCATACAACGCGCCGGAGTGGCTGGCTCGGTGCAGAAGCTCAATCGGCAGGAGATTGAGCTGGTCAAGCAGTTGGCCAATGAGATTATCTATCAGCAGCAGCGACGCATCGTCATCAGCACATTTAATCTGCTCAGCTTGTATTACGCGAGTCGCTTGTATGGCCAGCGCAGCGTTAATCTCGACGAGCTGTCGCGCGGCATACTCCATCTGCAGCGGATCTTTGAGCAGCTGGGCGCCCATGTGAGCACCACGGCCAACAGCATCAAGCGCGACATTATCGATGCCGTCGAAATACATGGCAACATTTTACAGTTTCGTGTCGGTGTCCTGCAATTTACACCGCTCGCCGTCGAGCAACTGGCGGCCACAATCGATATGAAGCGCCTCAAAGCCCATGCTCTGCTCTCCAGCACAATGGCGGTTGCGGTGCCCATGTTGGCCCTACAACTCTACATAAATCCCTGCATGTTTTGGCTGGCGAGACCCGCTTATCTGCTGCTCGCTGCGCTCAAGTTGCAGCGGCGTCAGCAGAACCTGGACAGCATGAGATCATATGCGGAAACGCTGACCGCACTGCACCATCATGTGAACAGCATGGATGCACTGTTCCAGCATGAGTTCATCATCGAATCCAATCGCGAGGCAGTCGAATTTGAGGCACACCTGCAGCTGCTGCTCGACGAGCGTGTGCTGGATCTGCACGAGCAAACGGGCCGCATCAGCGTCCACGATAATGAGTGTTCGCGTGTCATACTCGCTGCACTGGCGCCCTTCCTCTGCCTCTACTATCAGCTGTCGGTTACGTTGCGGCAGGTTTGTAATAAATGCTTGCATATTTCATATTCAGCTGTTGGCTGATTAACATCTGTTCTCCTTTTGGCTTGCAGCGGTTTTCGGTTGGCGAGTTCAGTGCCAAGGATCTGCTTGTTGGCGTGCAGCAGCATGTGGAGCAGCTGCTCCAACAACCAGGCATTGCAGCGTCACACGTGCATCCATATTGCCTGGCGCTGGACAATCTCAATATTGCCATCCATGCGCTGATCCAGTCCGGATATGTGCAGAAGTCACGCGACACGGGAATGATGCACATTGCGACAAAGTCGCCGGCGAAGGATCTGAGGCAGCTGGAACTGCAGCTGCTGGAGTATTGCCAGCTAATGCCATTTACCCAATACTCAACGGCGGCCAACGAGCAGGCCCAAACGCATTTGGCCAAGTTATAACTGACAAATGGCAGGCGGTTGGCCAACGTATCGCTGCCCAGCGCCTCGACAACGTTCTCAACGTTCTCAGCACATCTAAATAGTACAATATCACAAATCATTCAATTCATTGTTCGCCTGCTCAGAAACTGTCGCATCATTTGCATTCTGTTCGCTTTCGTAGTTGTTGCCCCTGTTTGGCAATTGCTACTCTGGCTAATTGCAGCAGCGTAGTGTGCGTGTGTGTGTGAGAGTGTGTGTGCGAGTGTGAGTGTGTTTTCGGTTTAGGGTTTTAGTTTATTATGACGGGGGTGTGTTCAAACGAGGCCTGTGTAAACGAGGCGTTTTTCCGAGTCATTTATCATTAAACAATAGTTGTAATTGATATTCGATTTGTTGCCATACACATAAAAAATGCATAAGCCAAATAAGTCACATAAATATTGATGCGAGTCAATTTGAGGGGCGACAAATACACTGTTCTACAGGTGAAGGAAGTCAGGTTTTTATATAGCTAGAGATCCCAACGACATTTGTTAATATATATTCCAATAGTTCATATAGCTCAAATATCATTGCATAGAAATTACATAGATATTTGACGCATTTTGATATGATGTCATTGACCATTTAGGCCATTTGGCATTCCTCGTCAACTGCAGAAAACATACATTTTAAATGAACTTCTTACAATTTTTATGTAGTTTTTAGCTCTTTTTATTTACATGTATATATTCAATAGGTGAGTTCTTAAACGCATTTTAGATTAATTTATTTGACGTTTTTTGTTTGTTACTCGAACTGCAAATTGAGTTAGCTTTAACCATGTTTTGTCTGTTGCTCAAAATGCACAATTTGTTTGTAAGTAAAACTGGAACTGTCCGCATAAATTACCCAAGTTATTTATGCCAGTGCATAATGCTTGAACAATGAAAAGCTTATTTTCTTTGTGTTAGTTACGTTCAATTCTACTATCATAGAAAATAACTATTCAACTATTTTGTATAACAAGTTTTCATCATCTTGAACTCAAAAGCCACACTTATCTTTTGAGCACTCAATTCCCGAGGGTATTTCGTGACATTAATATAAATGAGTATAAAAGTGCCAATGTAAATGCACTTGAAATTTTAGATAAGCTAATGCATTGTAGTTACTAGAATTCCTTTAAAAGACTTAAACATAAGTTGGTAAATATTCTCAATATTTTTGTAAAGCATACAACGGAATTTCCTATGAAAACAAAAAAAAAATATATATATATATAAACAACTGCAGCACAAACAAACCTAGCAACAAAGAATAAATAGTGCAATATTTTATTATTATTTAATACAACTTGAAAATCATATTTGAGGTAAAAGTGTTTTGTAGCTAATTTTATATATATACATATATGTATACTATGGGAATCCGACACCAATACACAAATTTATACACTACAACAACAGCAGAAATTAAATTTATTTAACTGGTGCCAGTTGCGCCATTGAGAAAGATTAACAAAATAAAAAAAAAAAACTAAAATGATTATTTATTTATTTATAAATATAACTAGCAAAACTGGCGTTTAAACTGATCCAAGGTACGCTGACTGATGACCACACGCATCAGGATTTTCTCGGAATTCTGTTCATCCGCTTTGGTATTCACAACGGCGGCATTCTTATATAGCCAGGCCATCTCTGGTCCACCGCTGGGCACGCGCACCTGCAGCTTTCGGCGTCCGGTGACGTTCAGAATCTGTTCCTCAATGTCCATTAGCAGCGGCTCCAAGCCACTCTGAGCGCGTGCCGAGATCAGATGACCGCCAGCAGCTGTCTGGGCTTGGGGTGTTACCAAATCGCATTTGTTGTAAACGTTAATGATGGGCGGCAGTTGGCTGGCGCTGGAATCGCCACCAGCCACACTGAACGCCAAGGAGCGAAGCGTGGACTCGACATGGGCACGCTGAGCGGCATGACAGGGATGCGACAGATCCTGTACATGTATGATAATGTCCTGCAAGAGCAACTGATTAATAGCTATTCCATTTTGATTTCAACTTGAAACTACATTAGAATATCACTTACCGCCAGCATGGCATCCTCCAAGGTGGCCACAAAGCACTCGAACAAGCCCGTCGGTAAATCGGACATAAAACCCACCGTATCCATATAGATAAGCTGCAGATTACAGGGTAAACTGCCCGCATGCGCTGTCACATCGAGTGTGGCAAACAACTGATTGCGCGGCTGCAGCGAATCTTCCACTGTGAGCGCCTTTATCAGCGATGTCTTCCCGGCATTTGTATAGCCAACGACAGCCGCAATTGGGTAGTTCTGTTGCTTGCGCTTCTGGCGCAACAGCTGTCGCTGGCGACGCACAGCATCCAGTTCGGCACGCAATTTGCGCTCCCTTGTGCGCAGTATTTCCTTTTGCAGATCACTCAGGGAGTAGCCCTGACGCCGTGTTTGCGTTGCACTCGCATCCTTTGCCTGCGCCCAAATGTAGGGGAGCTCCGCCATTGCCACCTGGAGACGAGCCTCAGCGGTCGTCGCATGTAGCCGCAAGATTTGTATGACCACCGAGTAGCGATCCAGCACCGGCAACTGGAATTCCGACTCCAGGAATTGTTTCTGGGCGAAGGAGAGCGTGCCTTTGCTCACAAATACGCAGCTAATGTGTCGCTCCTCGCGCAGCTGGGCAATTAGCTGCTTCAGTTCCGTCAGTTTGCCGCTGCCAAAGAGCGTTTTGCGCTCCAGGCTTTCCAGTGGCACCTTCAGTGCTCGAGCCACCTGCCAGTTGGGCAGGGAGTGAATCAGCGCCGTCGCCTCGATCAACTGATCATCGGGGCGCACATCGTTGGGCGTTGTGCGCTTCGCCGACCATTTGACATACGGCTGCAGGATGAACACGTGCTGCGCTGTGGCGACATCTCTACTGATGCGCATTGCTCCACCAGCGACCTCATCGTAGGCGCTGTTAAACAGAGGAATCTTATCTTAATAATATATTTTAAGGCCATCTTCCTTACTTACCGATCATCCAGGAAACGCATATCACCGCTGCTCATAGCCATCGATCTCTCCTCGCTGTCCTCCTGCTGGCCCGCCTGCATTTGAGCCTCGTAGAAGCTCTTGCGGCTGCGTATGCCCTTGACTCCTTGGTGTTGTGTGTACTTGAGGCGCGCCAGGATTTGTGTGGTTGCAGGACGCAACTGCGGGAGCCAGGCCACATGCAAAGCTGCACGCAGGCACTTCATGGCTTAAACTATTCTATATACTAATTTGGCGCCCCTTAAAACGTTTTCTCCTTGAGCACAGAGTGTTTGTCCTCGAAGGCCATCCAAGCCGCTTGACAGGACTTGGTGCGTGTCGTTGTCGTTTGATAGGATATCCCAGTTGCCACTAGGGCTGACACCAATACGTTGAATTTGGCTGGATAGTGTATTCTTGTTTGCACCGCCTTCTGTACAAAATATGTGCCAGCAAATCCTGGAAGCATAATAAATATTATGCAATTGTTTTGAAAATTGACAAAATGCCTACCTAAACAAAATGATGCAAGTCCCGTGAAGAGAGCACGTGTCATGCAGTCCAGGTATCCGTCAAAGCCTGGATGTTTGTCGCGCTGCTGTTCCCTTAATTGCTTTATATCGTTCATAATAAAGTTTTACTCACATACATTAATTAAATCGCAATTCAATAAAAGCTGCAAGCCTTTGGTATTCTGTTGTGAGTTCTTGGCAGCACTGCTTGCTGTCGTCCGATCTGGCAGCTACAGCGCCAGCTGTTAGAAATAGTGCACACGATGAAAATCTTATTGGCTAACTATTATCTCTGTATGACATATATAAATTTACAAGTTTCTGTCAGAACTGTGCTTATAAGAAGCAAAACTTAAATGCCACTGATGTATTGAATTAAAAAAAAAATCAAAGTTACTTTAAGGAATTGTATGACAAGCGCAAGAAATAGATTTTATGGGTAGCACTTTTTGCGTAGAGTGCCGTCCAGTCTGGCAACTCTCGCCCGTTTAGTTGTTATTTGTGGCATTAGCTCGAGAATTTGCTGCAAAATGGATGTGGAGAAGATTTGTCGCACCTGTCTCAGCCTCTCCGGCCCATTCCTGTCTATCTACGATGGTGGGTCCGGCAGCTGCTTAGTCGATATGCTGCGCGAATTCACCAGGACGCAAGTAAGTTGAACCATGTCAACCAATGTGGGTTGAAAACTTAAATCTAGCTCTGTTTGCCAGCCGCGTCGCGAAGATAATTTGCCAGCGAGAGTTTGCTTGAGCTGCATCAGCGAAATCAATCACTGCTATTCGTTTAAGCTCAAGTGTGAGAGCTCGAATCGCACGCTGCGCCAGCTTCTGCCCAATGCGCTGCCCGAGCAGCCCGAATTCGTGGCCAAGCCAACAGTGGCCACATCCGAGAAATCCATGCAAACCAACGAAGTGCAAACAGTCACAGCAGAAGCGCAAACGGATGGGGTGACCACAACAGATGCGACACAAAACACCAGCCTACAGGAGCCAGCGCCTGTGACCGTGCAGCCCCAGCAACAAAATGAGGAAGAGGAGGAGCAGGTGGAGGATGAGGACGAAGAGGAGGAGGAGGAGCAAGAGTTTGACTATGAGTTTACAGAAGAACAGGAGGGCGATGAGGCGCCGTCCAAAGCAAGTGCTGAAAATATAATACTACACGTGGAGAAGGACAATGAGAAGTATGAAACGGAAATGGTGTACAACAAAACAACCGGGGAACTGCTAGAACAGAGTGTCGAGAACGTTGACAAGCAGAAGGAATACAAATATCGACTTGTCAGCAATGGCAATGGCGACACATTCATCTCCCCGGAGCCAGCGACCGCTGCAGCTCGCAAAGAGCTGATGTCTGATCAGCCAGAGACTCGTGCAACGTCAAAGCGACGTCGAGCGGCTGCTGCTGCTGCTGCTACTGTTGCGGCACAGCTCAAGGAGCAGCCGGATGAGAGGCCGCCATCAGCTATGCTCGGCAAGAAACCAAAAATCAACAACTTCAATGAAACGCCTGCAACTGAAATGGAGGAGCTAAAGGCCAATTTCCACTGCGATCGCTGCAATGCCGGCTTTGCTCTGGAGAAATCCCTCATCATTCACCGCAGGCAAAACGGCTGCACCCATCGCAACTTCAAGTGCAACGAATGCAAGCGCGTTTTCGTCTCGATGGATCATCTAACCGAGCATCAGGCGACGCATGGTACGTTTATGTGTCAGGAGTGCGGACTGCGCTGCGAGTCCATGGAGCAGCTGGGCAGGCACATGGTGCAGACGCACAAACGCAATCTGCGCAATCAGTGCAACATTTGTCAGAAGGGTAAGTACACAAATATTGAGAATTGTTCTGCATTAAGAATGAAATCAAGGTTTAAATGAAATTCTCGGACAATTGCTCATTTTTGCAGTCTTCACCATGCTGTCAACGCTGCGGGATCACATGCGCATCCACACCGGCGAGAAGCCGTTTGTGTGCAACGTGTGTGGCAAGGGTTTTACGCAGAATGCCAATTTGCGGCAGCACAAGATGCGACACTCGGATATCAAGCGCTTCAAGTGTGAGCTGTGCAGCAATTCGTTTGTGACGAAAGCGGAGCTGACCTCGCATGCACGCACCCATACGGGCGTCAAGCCGTATCAGTGCGAGGTGTGCTCCTCCAAATTCACCACCAGCTGTTCCCTGGCCAAGCACAAGCGCAAGCATACCGGCGAGCGTCCGTATGCCTGTGATCTGTGCCCCATGCGATTTACGGCGTTGAACGTGCTGAAGAACCATCGACGAACGCACACCGGCGAAAGACCATTCGTTTGTCCGTTCTGCTCGAAGAGCTTCACGCAGCGCGGCGACTGCCAGATGCATCAGCGGACGCATCAGGGCGACAAGATCTACATTTGCCCCGTTTGCAATGAGGAGTTCAAAACGATGAATGATATGCGAACGCATCTCACGATACACGAGCAGGATGACAAGCGATTGGTGCACTTCACCCTGCTCAGCAACAAGGAGAATGGCAGCGGAGCCCTGGAGGAGGCCGACGACGATTCGGATGCAACGCAGGATTTACTCTAGTTGAGGGCTGGATAACTTTCCCTATGGGAATCTATATAATTAGATATATATATATATATATGCTAGAACTTAAGTTGGGTATTCCTTAGGCACAAGAGCTAAAAAGCTATCGATGTGTGCCACAAGATTGATTGATTATTTGATGACACTAATAATTCCTGCCACAACTCGATTGTTTTTCAGCTCTATTTAAAAAAAAAAGTTAATGCGTTCTTATAGAATTTACTTAGTCTTTAATTGTAGCTTACAAGTGTAGTTATTAAAATGCTTATGAATCGATACGGGCAACTGGTTGTCATCTGTTAGTAGAATTGTCCGAATTGCGCTGTCGATGCTTGCAGCGACGATGTGGACGCCTCCGGTGCGGCAGCAGCGACGGGCAGATGAGTGAGGGATGCGCCGCTTGTCAACGGCGGATCGCCTTGAAACCAATTGACCAGCTCGTGATGCGCACTCTGGACGCACTTGCGCTGATCGGCAATCAGGTTCTCTGAGTATTTCACATGGTTGGCATACGCCTCCTTCTCGTGCTGCACATCCTTCGACATGCGATGCAGATCCTTCAGTATCGCCGAGCCCCACAGCTGTACATGTATATCAGGTATTTTACTGGCCAATTGCATTGCAGGCGTCACCATATTCATGCTCTCCTTGGAGTTACCAATGCTCAGGAAGACATGGGAGAGCAGCACCAGTGAGCAGCTGGTCAACCGATTCAAATCCTCGGCATTGGCCATTTTCAGTGTTTCGCGCAGGAAGCGTCTGTGCGAGAGTATTAATTAGTCAAGAGAGAGATAAACATATATATATATATATATATATATATATATATATATATATATATGCTACTTACTTGGCCTCGTGGAAGCTGTTCTTGTGGAAGGCATGCAGACCCTGCACGTAGTAGAATCCGCCCATTAGTGCCTGGCTGCTGTACGTGTGCGTATTTTCCGTGGATACGGCGTCGAGTATTTGCTTCAGATCTGCATCCCGTTTGGTGCGCAGATAAATGATGGCCAGATTGAGATTGGCAAACAGCTTCAGATCCCGTTCGCCCGTCTCGTTCACGCACACCAGAAACTGTCGTTCCGCATGCTCAAAGAAGCTCGTCGACATCGAATAGAGGCCAATGAGGCAATGCAACTGCGCCGAGTGCCGCTTGAGGAGACTGCGATGCGGCACCGCCAGGCAAACATCTCGGGCAGCGGCTATCTCGCGTATGGCCAGCTCACGGTTGCCCATGACCATGCGGCACATGACGATGTGCTCGAGCAGGATGACCTTGAAGACGGATAATATGGATTTGTCCTCCTGCAGCTTGAGTTTCTCGATTTGGGTGAGCGCCTTTTCCGTATACTTTTGCGCCTTGTCCATGTAGCCGGCCATCATCGAGTGCGAAACGGTGACCAAATAGACGAGCACATATAGCTGCTCCTTGGGCAGCCAGACAAACATCTCCAGTTGATTGCCACCGAATATGCTCTCATCGCTGGGCCAATTGGGCGCCATTATCGTCTGTATGGACATCTGGAGCTGTTTCAAGCTGGGCTTCACCGTCTTCACCTGGCCGAGTGCCAAATAGTAGCACACTTGCAACACCAGAAAGAACACCTTGAGATACTCCTTCTGATGCGGATTGGGTATATTATTGTCGATAATTTGACCCGCTGAATTGAGCAGCGCCAGAACATCGTTCGTCTTGCGCTCAATCATTAGGATCATGGCGCGTGAGAGTAGAAACAGCACCTTCAGATAGGTGGCGCCCGCCTCCTCCGCTGACTCGGCGCCCACCGCTAGCAGATCGCTGGCTAGCGAGTACTCCCGATCATTGGCATGAATCTGGGAGAGCTGCAGTAGCAGCTTACAATGCCAGTAGACATTGTTTTGCGACAGTTCCACTGCCCGGCGCAGCATCGCCTTGGCGTGCGGACTCTGCTCCGTTTTCAGGTGGAGCTGGGCCAACAGCGAGGCAGTGTCAAATTTGACGTCATCAAAGTTCATTAGGGGCTCGGAAATGCTCCACGCCTGTTCCAAATGGCGACGCGCCAAATCTATGTTGCATGTGTACGCCATCAGCACTTGGCCCATCTGTAGGTGTGTGCGCGCCTCCACCTGACCAATGAGTGACATTCAAAATTTAATTTCAGTATTAAATTATATTTATTGTTGACTTTCACTTGAACTCTTTTCTTACCTTGGAAGGCGGTTGAAAAGTGAACAGGGCCTGTAAACATTGTATGCATTTTTTGATATTTGGCGGCTGGGAGGTACGAAAGTATTCGGCAAGTCCGAGTAGCGATATGTAGCAGGCATCCTGGGATGCTGCTGTGGTGTTTGCCACACTCATTGCGTTTAATTTGCCACAAAATCGGCTTCGTTTTGTTTATCGCGTAATTTTGTTGTTGTTGTCGTTCCTGCTGCGTGGGTTAATCTGGTGGTTAATCAGTGTTGGTCAACACTGCAGCGTTGTGTTGCTCCATATGCTATCGATAGATTATTATTATTAACTTGAATTATTAAATGCAACATTATTTAAATACTTTTCTAAAACATTTTATTTTGATACATATGCACTAATTAATTATTGCATTTAAATAAATATATAGATTAAAAACAGAAAAAGAACACCACTACTTTGAACAACAACAATCGCTTGAGGTTAATCGATAAGTGCTATCGAATATTTTGAGCTCGTCTCATCAAAATATTACTTGAGGCGCGCTCAGCAATAAGTTCAGTGTAGAGCTTTGAGCGGCCGCAACAAGTCGTGTTTTTGTGCAAGTAGTGTGAAAATAGCTAATAAAGTTAAAAAAAAAGGTAAAAGATGTGCACGAACCCATTGCATTTTATTAATAGTTCATACGTATTGTGTATTGCCAATATCCGACTACCACTGACCGGTTTTATCGTTTTCAAATCGAGGGCTCTTCACATATTATTTTTGTAATTTGCTCACAATAATTGTTCAATCCATAATTGCTTGCTACCCGCAAGCGTTGGCTATTCCAGTAAATAAGTGATTTTTTAAATATATAAAGCTTTGTTATTGCTGTTACTGTGACACGCAATCGCAATTGTCATTCAAAATTGGAATGAATTTTGCGTTTGATTTATGTTTAATTTTAATTGGATTGCTATTTGTAGATTATTTCTGTTGAAATATATATGTTTGTATATATATATATATCATGGTTTTCCCTTGAGATGAGCTAACGATAATGCGCTTATTATAGAATTCCTTTAATCAGAATAACAATTCGACCTTATTTTGGCCTTTTATGGATTCCTCGAAATTCATAATTAACAGATTGGGTTTTTTTCGCTTTTGGAATATTTCAGCCAAATTGGTGAAAAAAAAAAAACAAACATGCAAGGGGACACTTAATAATTATTTGCGTCAAATACTTGAGTTGTTGGAAATTCCATAGAAACATGTTGTTCCATTTTTCAATACTGCTCTGCCAGTGTGGGCAGCGCAGGCGCCAATGTGTTGATAAACCGCAAACATAAATGCGAGTGAGAAAAGAAATAAAACTAAATAAAAAAAACCAATTACAAAATCGCCAATACAGGGTCAAATAAGCGCGTAAGCTCTGAAATGTGAACAATTTATGAATCACGCATATTTAAAGTGCACACAACTGTGTGTCCCTATCAATAAACCAGTTTTAAATATGTTAATTTTGGGTTTTTTATTTCGCTTGTAAAAAACGCAATCACGCAACTGTGACGTTGTGCAGACAATCAGCTGCACAAGCCTAAAAAAAAAAGAAAAAGAAAACAAAGACAAAGTCGCTCTTTTTATGCTCAGTCGAACAACAACAGTAGTAGTCAGTTATGCATGGCAGCAACAAAAAACAAACATCAGCCGCGAATTGTTGTTGTTGCTGTTGTTGCGAATTCGAGTGCAGACAAACCGATAAACTTTCACTTTTCACGTTGTCAGCAACGAGATGTTGCAATTGCTGTAATATTGTGTATAAGATAAATTAGCTACAGCAACTTTAGCAGCTTTGGGGATAATAGCAGCGTTGATGAATCAGCCTCAGGGGTCATTTATGACTCGCTCTCACTGCATAAATTTGCCGGCTTAACGATTTTGCATACAATAAAACTGACAATAAAATAAACAAAAGATTTCCATGCGTGACGTGAATAATGACAATCCACAAACGTATATATTGCGGCATGACCTGCTTCTAGTCACGTGTTTTCTCTGCTATTTTTAAAGGTAATCGAAATGTAAATATATAAAAACAGAAGAGGTGCTCGAAACTATACTATAAACAAAAGTGATAATGACTGTATCCGCAAACAAATTGCAAATTTAAAGTATCTTAACATTATTTCATAAACAAAATATTTATTTATGTTCTGATTAGCCTCACAATGTTGTCGATTTAGCCTCCACAAGGTCATCGTGACATTGAAATTAGGTTCACGTAACATTTAGCGATTGTGCTGACATCGAACTTCTCTGGCTATTTTCAAAGTCATTAATCAAAAAACTGTCGTATCTGAATCTTGTTTACCCTTAGAGAATGAAGGTGTGTCTTTCGCTGGTGCTTTCGCTGCTGCCGGCGCTGTTAAGCGCCGAGTTTTGTGGCATCCAATCGAATCCAAGCATGGTGAATATGCGCTTCCAGTTGTATAGTGGAGAGCAGGAGTTCTCCGTGGCCATGCTGGACGCCATACGCAAGGCGACGCCCACCGAGAATGTTTTCTTCTCGCCCTACAGCACGTACCATGTACTGATGTTGGCCTATTTCGGCGCCACCGGCGAAACAGAGCAGGAGCTGACCAGGGCACTGCGCTTAAGCTGGGCATCCTCCAAGGAGGAGGTGCGCAGCGCCTATCGCATGGAGAAACAGTTACGTGGTACCCGTGCCAAGAATATGCCACTGGAGTTCTCGTCCGCGGACCGTCTGTATTTTGATAACCGGGTGCAACTGGCCAGCTGTCTGGATGAGCGTCTGCACGAAGAGATCGTCAAGTTAAATATCAGGGATAATGTGGAGGAGACACGTCAACAGATTAATGGATGGATTGCTAAGGAAACACGTGACCAAATTAAGGACATGCTATCCTCCGGCGATATCGATTCAAACACTCAACTGGTGCTGGCCAATGCTGCGTACTTCAAGGGACAGTGGCTTACTCGCTTCAATGTCGACAAAACCGAACAGATGCCCTTCTACACGTCCAGCGACAAGTATTCGTTTGTGCCCATGATGAAGCAGAAGGGCAATTTCCTAATGCATCCCGATGAGCGTCTTGGCGCCCATGTGCTGCAGCTGCCCTATCGCACATCCCATAAGGAAGATGACGAGAATTCGGAAATATCAATGGTTATTATACTGCCATCCTTTGCCAATGATGCACTGGAACAAGTGCTGTCCAAGCTGAATGCTACTACTCTGAAGGATTCTTTAAAGGAAGCGTCGCAGCGTGAAATTGAGATCTCACTGCCAAAATTTGAGTTTGAGCAGCGTCTGGAACTTGTGCCAGTAAGTGCCCAGTACTTATTCCCAATTGAATAAAATCTATTATTTATAACTAAATCGCTTACAGATTTTGCGTCAAATGGGTGTCAATCTGATCTTTGAAAGCAACGCCAGCTTCATGGACTTCAGCACGGACCAGAGCATCAATTTCGGCGATGCCAAGCACGTGGCCAAGATCAAGGTAGATGAGGAGGGCTCCACAGCTGCGGCAGCCACTGTTCTGGTCAGCTTCCGTTCAGCTCGTCCTGCTGAGCCAACCAAATTCGAGTGCAATCATCCGTTTGTCTTTTTGATCTATGATCACTATTCGAACGCAATTCTGTTTACGGGCATCTATCGCGATCCGAAGACAATGAAGTAAATTACACCTGGCCAACAAGGCTCGTGTCAATGCCAGTGCTGTGTGTGTGTGTGTGCGTGTGCGCACATCTCGTAATAATCGAATTAACACTTAACCAAATTCTGTGTCGAGCATGCGCATGTACCTAAAACTTTCTTATTGTACGTGTAAAATAAATTATATGAACATAGCTCCAAAATGTAATCTTTGTCATTTTCAAAAATTAATATTATTTTGTGCCTTAAGCTTAAGGTTTAAACTAATAAATATTTTATTTAAATAAAAAAATCCGGATCTTGAGCCGGTTAAACCAAATATCTTGGACAAATTTCGTTGCTTTTAATCTTGCAGACTGTATATATTGTAGATTAATTAGAAAAACCTTTTTTAATGCTTAAAATATTAAAACATTTCAGCAAGTTAAAGGAACAACTTTCCACACAACACCAGACAAAAAAAAAACACAGTTCACATTCATTATTTAGTTTTGCTCTTTCGCTATTTTCTTCTTTTAAAAAATTACGTAAATCATCCGTAAACATTTTTATCTCATATTTTGTTGTTTTTTTTTTAAGTAAACATTGCTACATAAATACAAATTAGGAATTGAAATGAGCTACTTAAGAGGAGCTTAGGCCATACAGTTAACAAGCATGCATATTTACAAAAAGAAACTTTAATACTTAATTCGACAAAAAATGATTAGATTGGGATCAAATGTGACTGCTACAAATGGTGTTATTGGCCTGGCGAAAACATAAAAATTCCTTGGCTTGGCAACGCAATTTGTATGTCATGGCTATAGCGAAAAGCACTGAAGGCACTTTGGGTTAGCAAGCGGCGCTTTTCAACTATAAATTTACAAACCAAATATGAAACAGAAATAGTAATTTATAATGCCTATTGCTCCTCGCAAACTACAACTAAAATTCATAATAATTCATCTTAGGGGGTGGTGGTCATCAACAAGGGGCTAGTGTGCAATCAATATAAATCATGTGAGTAGATCTATAGATCATCTGGTGGCATGACAACCGCATAAATGGCAAAGCCAATAAATACAATGCCACCCACAATGGTAACAGTGCGCACCGAGATTTTGGAAGCCACGAGACGACCGCCAATCACAGCCAGGCCAGTGCAAATGCAATGGCCAAGAATGCCGCCACAAATAACGCCATAGACGTCCTGGAAAACCAAATAAATGTATATCAAAAATAAAATTGGCAACAGTTTTGCGATTGACATTGAACCAACATACCTTGCTGGCAGCTAGAATAATAGTTGTCAATTGAGAGCGATCGCCCCATTCGGCAAGAAAGGTCATCGTAAAGGCCTGGGCAAGAATGCGCATGGTAAAATAGGTGGCACCACGACGTTGCCCCTTGCCACGGCGTCCGCTTTCCGGATCATTCACCAGTGCAGTATTCACATCACGGTCCAGCTGCAATTAAAAGCAAAAGTGCAAATTTAAAACAAAGTTCACATTGAGTTATCAGTTTCAGTTGATGAGAAGTATGTGTGCGAAGTAAAAAATGTACAGCACAATTGATAATAAAAAATTTGTGAGTTAAGTATACATATAATTATACATATAAATACAAAATAAAATTGCACAAACGATCACTTCGGAACAAAATAGATTTCAAAACATGCATATAATTGTGTGAGTATAATTGATGTATGCTTAGTGGAATGCCGCAACGCAAATGTGGAATATGAAACAAGTCAATATTTGTATGACAAACACCGCAAACCCATTGCTCTGGGGTCATTGTGTTATACACTTAAAATAATCCAATGTAAATATAGATAGTAACAAAATGCAGTTTCATGACTGTGTGTGTGTGTGTGGGTGGATGGGGGGCTATACTTTTTTTGTTGTTTGGTTGAAAAAGCAAGTGAAACGTATGTGAAACAACAAGAGTTAATTTGAATGCCTGATCATCTCTAACCCGTGTCTTAAGCTCGCCTTCCTCGATGGTATTTAAACTATGCATGCTATCATGTCCGGCTAGCGGAGCACGTGGCTCCGTTTTGCCATTCTGCTCCTCTGAAGCAGCCGGATTGTTGTTGCCAATGCTGCGGGGGCTATCACAATGGGTTTGTTCGGTCTGGTTTGATGAGGCGATCGATGCCGAGTGCGCCGGACTGCCATTGAACGTGGTCATTTTCAATTGTTCAACCACACGGCCCCCGTCCCTGAGCAGCACCTCGGTGTTATGATAGTCCACATCGTTGCCAGTTTTATCACAGCTCGTTTGCTTAACATTAGTTGAGTTATTGGTGGTAATATTATTATTATTGTTGTTGCTGCTGCTGTTACTGTTGCTGGTGGGCTTGCGTTGGCGATGCTGCATCTCGGAGCCATTGCTGGAATTTGCCTTGGGCACAACGCTCACTTTGCCTTCGCTCAGCGTTTCTCCGGCATCCTCTTTGTCCGAGTTGCTGTTCTTGCGCTTCGCATCGGGATCCTCGTATTTTCGAGTCGCTTTGCGCATTAGCTGTCAGGTTTTTGTGTGTTGTTTTAAAGTAGAGTTTCATGTTTTGCACACACGGTAGGTAGGTAAATAGTTTCAATTTGTTTGGTTTGTGAAAGAAAGAATAATTAAATTAGACATTAGCTAAGTTTTGTAATACAAATCACAGGCAATTTTTTTTTGCTGTTTCAATGTGTTTCTTTTCTGTTTTTTTTTTTTGATTTCTGGTCAATTGTTTTGCGGTTAAGCAGCTTTCAAAACGTTCAAAATTGCTTTTAGTAATTTTGTTGTTTGATTATTAAATAGGTATTTTCTTTACACTTCATGGCGCAGACGTGCAATTAATCACATAGGCGTTTGTGTGCTTTGGTGTGTTCTGTTGCATACTTCAATTCAATTCAAATCAAAGTAATTAAACTGAAGCCTGACAATGAACGCTTCAAACTGCATGTGAATGATCGATTATTAGGAGACAAAATCGATTTCTCTTGCTTACAAACAACATTATGCCAGCGTTTAATGTGCGACACAATTTTACAATAATGCCTCATTGTTAGTCGGTCTTGTTTTAAATAATAAATTAATTATAATTAACACACAATCAGCATGCAGTAAATTAGCTCTTATTGCAACACGAACACTAAAGTACGGAAAGTTTTGCGGTTCGTTAATGAATAGTTTTTGTATATTTATAGTATTTGTTTTTGTTTTTGTGAGAGAGCAAATGAAAGTAGGTGTGTAGTAGCATAAACTAAAGCTTTTCGCAGGCAAAACGTGTCAGCGGGCAAATGAAGTGATCTCCTTGTTGTCGTTGTTTGTTTGTTTTGTCAATTGCAACAACAGTAAAAAGTAAAAGTAAAATATTGGCAAAAATTATTTACAACCAATTAAGCATATATCAATTAACAAAAGCGGCGTAAATTATTATTTTAATTTCCAAAGTATTAACAAAGCCAGGATAAGAAAAACAAAACGTTTCGTTTGATTCTCAACTACAACTACAGCCAAAACATGTACAAAATAAATATCTGAGATTGTGACTCACCTCATCCTCACGCTTGCGCAGATCGCTTTGGACCTCTTCGAGTTCCTCTTGGGCATCGGTTGGTTTCATTTTGTAACCATCATACAACATTTTTAAACCGAATATTAAAAATAATGCAGTAGAAATATAATACGTATAAAGCTGAAATTAACAAAGTTAACACTTAAAGTTAAGAAATATGACAAAAACTCAAGATGTTTTCGTGTTCGTACCTTAGGAATAAAGTTTGCTGCCAAGCCGAATACGCACGAGAGAACCGTCATTAGGGCCAAGGCGGCAATGGCACCGCCAAAGACAATCAAACGCGGGTGGCGCATCGCCATAATGGCAGCAATAAAGAAAGTCTTATCGCCTAGCTCTGTTAACAATATAACAGAGATCGATGCTGTAAAAGCATCGATAAATGATCCCTTTATGTTGACATCCCGTTCCTTATCCGCCAATTTATCTTCTGTGCCAGTTACTGCCGTTCCCATTTTCAGTAACTGTTCTTGCTCCACATTCTAAAAGAAAAAAAGGAAATGCATCGATTAGACTTGCCGAGCTAAATGAAAGTAAAGTTCACTCACCTCCTTCAGATCGGCAATAATTGCAGCATTCTTGTCTCCATCCGGATTTGATTCTGCCGCACAGATGGTGGAGAATGTGAGCACCACCATTAATGCCATGGCCATTTTCCATTTGGCTGATCGCTTCAGGTATACATTGCGTCTGGTCGTCTGCCAGAAATATGATTGATTTTGTGACATCTTTGTGAGTGTGACTCTGTTGCCCGCTAGTACCGCATGCAATTATGTATCAACTTTTTTTTCGTAAACGTGTCCAATTCGTCCGGCTATCTAAAATGAAATGAGTCGCTCCACTTTAATAGCTGTTCTCTCATGGCAAAAATAAAATCAAAAGTATTACAATACATGCACGTAAAGCTAATCAGTTAGCAAGTGTGTTCGCGCCGCACGACTATTTGTATATGGCAAACACAACGAATCATGTCCAAGTCAGCGTTGAGCAAGCAAATCTGGCGGAGCCAACCATCAAATCAGTCCAACAGCGAACAGCCAACAAATGTGATGTGTAGATAACGGAGGTACTGCGTCAAGTGCCGCTGAACTGATATGGTCAGCCCAAGGCAGAATACAAAAGCAAAACCAAACTGAACCCGTAAGGTAATACAACATTTTAATACATACATACAAGATATGTACATATTTATTAATTTGGTCAATGCTCGTCGTGTATCGACGTCAGCAGCAGCAACTGCCAAAAATGTTGATTAGATGAAAATAAGTGCAAAAAATTGGCAAATATATGCCCCACACGAAACTGAGATACTCTCAGCCAACTTAATGTTTATTAGTTAATGCTCTTTATTCTTAAGAACGAAAAATATAAAAAGCTGGCGTAAACTGCTTGACTAAGCGCACAGTCCACGATAATTTAAGGGCATAAGAAACCACTTGATACACTTACGTGACCATTGCTGACTGACAACAAATCTTAAGGCTCAACTAATACATTTTTGCTGTATTTAGCTATCAATGAAAATGAACAAGAGTTGTTTAAACAGATTTATTTTAATTATAATTACTGGCAAAGTGAATCAAAATGCATTTTGCAATTATACTAGAGTTATAGTGTGTGAAGGCAGCTGGAAATGTTATCGCATTTGCATTGCTGATTGCTGTTTGTACCACTAGATTTATATTAATTTATGCTCAATTCGTATTCTACGTATTACGTCTTATACTTGGTCATATAATATTTGTGACATATATATCCTGTGTTTTTTTGTTAATGTCGGGGAATTATATTTATAATCTGTATATGCTATATATATTCGATTTATAAACTTTTGTACTTTTTTTTATGTGTTTCCCAATTAAATAAATCATCTCTTGCGGTTTTTGGTTTAGTCATTCTTTTTTATCTCTCTCCCTTGCGCCATAACATTATCTATATATGTTTATACAATAAATATAAAAAAATAATTTGGAACAGTTGAATTAAAGCTGCGCAAAATACGCAATTAAAACTTGTTTACTTAAATGCAAATAAAAATGTTCAACGATTAATGTGCATGTAATCACGTAAAGAGCCTCGTTACGTAGGACAGCTGCAGTTGTTGTTGTTGCTGATGACGTTATAGTGAACGTCTTAAATGCATAACGTATCGAAAAATTCTGCGTCAAAACAAACAACGTCAATGACACGTTAACAATATTTTATTAATATTGAATATAATACTCGAATTTCAATGCATATTCATATTAATACACATACATTGACAGCAACTCGTATTACTTATATAAATGGTTTGTAAAAAAGTGACGGGCAGAACAGAACGGCAGCAACAATTTTATAAATGAAAGGCAAGTGAGCAGCTGACCGGGCCGACCGACAAATCAATTGACCGTTTTCATTGCGTACGTTTCGCATTTGTTAACTATACCCTGTAACAGTAGATTGTATGTTGTATGTAGATGTGGTTGGAAGTCTTCCAATCAATTGTTCGACTTATATGATGATTCCGAGTCAATCTGCATGACAAACAACGGATGTAATTAACTGAGCAAAGCACATACAATTTTCTATTGTATCTTTAGTCGAGGATATCGCCTAGTCAATCAAATTAATTTTTTTTTTTATACACTTAATCAAATAAATATTAATTGCAGCGTAGCAACATAAGACACTTTCAGAAAATTATTTGCTCATGTACTTGTAAACATTTTCACATTGCTGACATTGATTTTCATTTATTTTCCAATGTATATTCATACTTATTCAATTTGTATATATTATAATTTTTGCCACTTGTCTATTTTTATGCGCACAAGCAACGGCATTTTACCAGCGCTGTCATTTTGGCTGTTTTTGAGCTAAACGGTGCAGCCAGCGTGGCAATTGATTGGATTTACTAAATCGTATTAAATTATATTATATTAAGGCACAAAATGTTTATCTTTGTGGTTTTACATAATATGCATTGCTTTTAACTTGTATTTGAACACCACTACTAAATTGTTAGTTAGCTTTTTTCACAGTTCTAACAGTTTCAAACATTCTCACACCACTTGTGGCATCACTAACACTGCGGCATTGACTGGCAAAATTTGACCAGTTATTTTGTAACATAATTATGCAAATTTTATGTAGACATTCGTCCCTCAACACATGCAAGTATATTGCATTATGTATACATCTTAGTTACACAAAATTATAAATTAATTGCGGTTTTAAGCCATCAAATGTGAAACCCGTCCTTACATCGCCAGAATACTTTTTGTTAGTGATGCTAATAACTCGATAGATAAGTGAATCGATATATTACAACTTTTTAGTTGTTTGCGTGCGCTAAGTGCGCAAAAATGCTCAGTGTTAACATAAAAAGTGCGCTAAATTTAAGCGCAGATTTACAATGTAATACTTGATTTATTCAAATTCATTTTTCTTGACTTATCTTAAATATTATCCTATCAAATTTAACCCAAATCACAAAGCAGACAATACATTTATTGTGCATATAAAAAATATAAAGTTAAACATTTATATAACAATTAAATGGAAATGAAATAAACGTAATACAAGCAATATAAATTTGGTTTACATTTTCGGAATAGATGATAACATTAATAGCAATTGAATTTTGCTACTTACAATGAATACTAAATGCAAGTCAATAAGTATGCAAAGGCCTCAGTTTAGGGCACAAATTGGATACGTCCAGAGCAGCAGATCATGGATGTCATTATTGCTACTGCTCCACTTTAATATCATCAGATTTCGATGCCTTGAGAGCACGATCCTCTCGAGCACATTTGCGTATGATTCCATTGAAATGCTTGTGCAGTCCATATCCCAAAAGACGAACTGGTCCAATGATTGTGGCATGCAACAGATTCGTAAAGAAACCATCCCAGGGCATCAGAGCACCACCCAGCATGGTAATCAGCCAGCTCTGTGCACCCACAATCGATATAAAATTGCCTTTCTGTGAACGAGGGAAAACTTAAATTGTCAGCTAAAAAAAAATCACATATTTGCTCACCAGCGCATCCTTAAGTATTGCCTTGGCAATAACCTCCGGCTCTATGAGACCGCCACCACCTGAAATGATTTTCGTTTCCCGCGGCTTCGACTTCTCCTCTTCTTCGAATCCGGTCGTATTTGTGTCGCAGGGGAGCGCCAATGTGACAGAGACTCCATGGGATCGCGACTCCATCGCAATCGTTTCGGCCATGGCACGCAGGGCGTATTTGCTGGCTGCGTATGGGCCGTAGCCATAAATGCCAAAAATGGCCGCCTGGGAAGAGGTCAACACAATGATGCCCTCGCCGGCCTTCTTCATCTTGGGCAGCACATAGCGAGTGCAATTGTAACTGCCAAAGAAGTTCACGTTCATCAGCTTGTGCACATCCTCAACGGCGACTTCCTCGAACAGTCCACAGATGGCCATGCCAGCACAATTGATCATCGCATAGATATCGCCGACGCTCTCCTCCAGTTCACCAAGGACACGCGCCACCTGATCATAGTCGCTGCCAATGTCCAGGCTGCGATGTTGGAATTTCTGTTCCGGTCTCTGGCGGATGACCTCCAATAGTGCAATAGCGCCACCTATGGCATGCAAAATGGAACACGCCATGCACCATGCAAGTGAGAGTTGCAGTGAAAATTGTTAGCTTGTTTTTCTGGTTTTTCATTTCGTACACTTACGCAGCATTTTCTCGTCGCGGGCAATTACTGTGACATTTGCACCTTTCATGGCGCATTCGACGGCGAGACATAGGCCGATGCCCTTGGATCCTCCGGTAATTACCACGTGACGACCGACAATGCTCTTTGGTCTCTTAGCCATGACGAATATGAATATCAGTATGTGGATTAATAGCGCAATGCCCAGGCAGAAAACCACTTCCCATGTCAGCTCCATAGTTATTGTGCCGCTGATAAGATTTGTCAAATGGGTATGGCGATATTTGTTTGTGGACCATCGCTAACATTATCGATAGATTTAGCTATCACGCCCATAGAAATAAGTGTGTTCTGAGTGTTGCCAGATAGTCACAAATAGTTGTATTTGATTTGATTTTGAATTTTGTCTGTATATATGTATTACTAATATATAAATATAATATTAAAATAATAAATGGGAAATTAATTATGTGTTGTTTTTCAATAAAAATTAAACGTTTATGTGCACTACGCCACTGTCTGTTTATCATATGCAAAATTTCCAATGAGCGGAGAACAGCTGCCAATTGAGTCGCTGCCCCGGTGCGCTGCACAACTTCCAAGCGCTGCGTCAACTCCAACGCCGACGCTTTGGCGATGGCTTTGGCTTCACTTAAAGGCGATTTTCAACCACTTTTATATATGTATGTTCCACAGAGCCGACGACAGTTGGCAGCACACTTTCAGCTTAGTCGTGTACGTAACGTCGTCGAGTTGCAAGCGTTAGCGGTAAAACGCATACATTTTTGGTCCCAATAGCAGCATCAGCACCAGCACCAGCGACAGCAGCAGCAAAAGTACCAGCAGAAGCAGCGGTGCATTCAAAGCAAAAAAATTAAAATGTGTGTTTAGTGTTAAGTAAATTTTTGGTAGTGCAATCTCTCAAGTAAACGGCAAATGTTGCGCTCCACTGCACGCTAATGGCAAATTAGTGCAGCAAATGCAAAAAAAAGAAAAATTTAAAACAAGCAGCACAGCGTAAAGCGGTAAAAAGTATTGCATACCAAACGGCTGTCATGAAAAATAGATATCGATTTGCTGTTGAGGCTATGGCTATTTCTGTGGGTGCACATAATACAAAATTTAATATCAAATTGCCAGAGTTACCAGCGAATTCAACACACATACTTGTAAATTATGCATTAATTGGCTCAATTGTGTGACATTCTATGTGTGGGTGTGTGTGTGTGTGAGTGGGTATTACTCTGTCGCTTACAGCGCTGTGTGTGTGTGTATGAGATCATCATTAGAACGTCGCCTGCTGGTATGCAATACTTTTTTTTTAATGGCAGCACTGTTTCTCCATCTCCTTTCCACAGCTGCGGCCAGTAAAACAAACGAAAAAAAATCGAATCTAGAATAGTGTATGACAATACAAACGCACTTTCTTCGCAACGCATTAACCAGGTGCGTGTGCGTCTAGCGAGAGCGTGAGAGCGAGCGAGAGGGACAGAGTAAGTGAGCGAGAGCGGCACGCGTGTGTTTTTGTGTATGTGTGTTAGTACGGTTGTTGCGCCTAAAAGTTGACAACGAGAACAAAAATAAATTCTGAGAAAATAAATATAGATAATCTGTAATCTGCAAGCGCGCGCGTGTTTATTTAATTTGTATTTTGGTCACTTGGTTCGGCAACAACAACGACAACAAAAGCATTTCCCTATGATTGGCTCATTCTGGAATCTGTGCAGAGCGTGCCCATCAATGCCGGTTGACAAGGTATGTACCCCATATAAACACATATACACACACACACACACACACACACACACTCATACATACATACATACATACTTGCTAATCTCACACATATCTCAACTGGGAAAATGTATACCATCCTTGAGACATTTTCAATAGTTGGCCATAACTGGTAGCTTCTTAGCCCACTTACATTATTTAAAATATGATTATATTATTTTTTGTTGCAACGAAATCGGTTGATTTATGTGCGACATATTTTTATTTTTATTGCGACACAAGTGAAGGGTGCATTGAAGGGTGCGGACAAAATGGGGTGACTCTTGTCTTGAATTTATGACTTTGCTCGTGAGGGTGTCCGTCTGCTGGGGGATTATATCATGGGATTAAGAGCCAAATATATTTGATTTCATAAAATTGCAACGAGAAATAAAAATAAAATCGCTAATCCTTATTTATTAAATGCGCATTAGAGTCATTGAGAAATATGTTAGAATATTTGTTAATGATTTTAATATCGTTATTAAATACATTCTAAAATGAAATATGCTCATCTTCAGAAATACATTTTTTATATAGATATTTTAAAAATAAATTATAAAAGCTAAAATTAAAATTATCGATCAATTTGTGATACAGAAATTTTGTGTTTTATTCAAAAGAATGTGTGTATTCCTTAAGCTCTGCTACAAAAAAATAATCACGACAAGTCAAGCGAATTCTACACAAACTTGAATTTATATACACCATACATAACTTTAGCAGCTTTCAGCGACTATCCTTGGAGTGTCATAAAAAGGAGTTGGCTGAGTAAACATGCAATTCACAGCGCACTGAACTGAAAAGAAAGAAAAATGAAGAGAATAAGTCGAAAAAGGAATGAAGTTTGAAAATAATAATAATCTGCTGATGGTATAGAATAAATTAAAGAACACTACGCTCGACACTATAGTCGGCGTCAGCAATGGAGCAGACATGGCCAAAAATCAATAGCCATATGGTAGGTAGCTAGTACTATGGGTATGTGGCCTAAAGGAGTGTGTGTATCCAGACCCAGACCCGTCAGTTGGCTAGGGGCCGGCCGGGCAACGAATTTAATTCAAGCACGAATCGCCTGCTGCTTTGGCTTTCCAGTTTTGCCTTAGCATGGTCGGAGCGGTGGAATGGGTGGCCGGGGGTTGGGTGAGGGGTGTCCACTTTGCAGAACAGCTGATTCATCAAATTCGAGCTGCCGCACTAAAATGTATGCAATGCTTTTTTACTCTGGCTTCCTGTCACAGCTGTTGGAAGAGAAAACGCGCATGCGCGAGAGAGTGACAGAGAGAGAGCGAGAGAGGGAGCGAAAGAGAGAGAGCGAGAGAGAGAGAGCAGAGAGTAATATATATTGAGAGTGGGAGCAGCGAAGAGAAGTGTGAGAAAGAGACAGAGCGAGCGGCGTCTGCCGGCTTTTAGTAGCTGCTTCAGTTGGTGCTGTTGGTACTGTTGTTGCTGGCCATATGACGTGCAAAGGCAAATTGTCTTGCGGTATTACATCAGCGCAGCGCAGTCAAAACTTTTATTGTGCCACCTCTTTTACCACCGCCATCACTTTGATCCACTGTTTGCCCGTAATCTCGACGCTTGTGGAAATTAAAAAATTGTAACAATCCTAGGGTTATAATTTCTAATGAATAAATGAATGACAAAATTGACCTTTACAAAATGTTTTTCATTTGTTAGTTTTTTTTTTATTCTTTCGTAAAAGATAATTCTTATCTTATTATGTTTTGCGAATTTGAATTACCTTTTTTTACCACTGTAGCAAAAACAACTAGTTTGGCTGGTCGCCAGTGAGGCGTGCTCCTTGCTGGTGGCTACTTTTTTGGCTTATCGATTCGCCAGACATGTTGTTGGACTCTTAGTCACTCTCTGCGTGTACATAGATATGTATATATAAATATATGTATAAGTCAGCTGGCGACGCCCAGAACAAATGCACCACTACCGTTGTTACACTTATCTAATGTAAATTTAGCCCACGACACAGGCACACTTGTTGTTATTGTTGGCTGTACGGATCCATTGTCTTGCTGCTGCTGCGTGTGCTATGTGCTCTATCTGCCCACATCATCAATATGCACATTGTGGCCTAGCCGACAGGCATTGTTCTATGCACCCTACCTTAAGCGGGGCTTAGACTCTACTCCCATATATTCGAGTATTTATAGTATGCTCGTTAACATTGCTGAACTATTTTGGGGCATTACCATACGTGCTGGCATTTAACAAGAAAAAAAACTCGTTTATCTCAGCTGCTGCAAGCATGTGTGGCATATCTGTTTGAATAAGTGCTTGGCTGTGCGGTGTATCAATAAAATTGCAACATCATTTTGCGCACAATTACTAAAAAAATTGTTAAAAAAAATATTAAAATTTGATTTCGATATTATTGATAATGATACTGATTTAAATAATGTCTATAAAAGTATTCTATACTCTTTTCTTGGGTTATACACTTCACTACACTGCTTCCAGAAGCGTTTTCAATTTTTGCACAAAATTGAAAGCTTGGCATTTCAATTTCCGCATTTCTTGACCAATCACAATGGAAATTTTCATTGTGCATTCAAATCGCGTCAACCAAACAGTTCTCACTCAGTTTGACCGCAGCAATTTGCACATTTTATTCATTACTCCCTGTCTCCCAAAGCCAGCTGCTTTCTAATCTCCAAACTGCTGACGGAAACCATAAGGGAACCCACGCGGCAAATGCACAGAGCCGCAGCCACAGACAAATACGAGAAACGGAAATGGGAAGTATACTCAAATTGTGTGGTCAATCTCTATGGAGCAGAGCTGAGTTGAGCTGAGTAGAGCACAGCGTCGAGAGCCTTAGAAAACTTTTGTAATTATTTGTGGTCAGCTGATTGTACTTGTTTCTGTTTTTGCAGTCAATGAACACTCAACCAAGCGATACTCTTAGAAAGTTTCGAGCGAGAGTACTGCAAATAATTGGTATCAGAATGCATGCGAATGAAAAGGTGTTTCTTGAATTAAAGGAATGCTTTCTTTTCTTTTGAAAAAAATCTTTTATATATGAAAATGCTAAGTAATATTAATAAAGAAATATAAACAAATTCCAAGCTTATTTTACTTTTCTTATGGAACTTTTTCATTACATAATTTCTCCACAATTTTAGTTGTCGAGAACAACTGGAAAGCTTAAAATAAATCCATACCTCAGTCAATTATAATATTAAAAGTTATACAAAACTTGTCGTTTAATTAGTTTTCTGTTGTTTCTTAGAGTGGGGTTCAAAGGTTGGCATGGTAAATTTAATTGGCATTACGATATGTGCAGACACGTACAGACTTGCACTGGATGCCAACGAAACTGTACAAATTTGCATTTTTTGTTGTGCACACAACAGGGAACAATTTCAGCTGTGTAAATTTTTATTTTACTGATTGCCTTCCGTGGCCGCGTGTCAACAGACTTTTGACTGTTGGTTAGCAATGATCATACACTCACAGAAGGTATTTCAAATATATCATATAAGAGACATTTTTGACCTAAATTTTATATACATTTATGTAAATATTATGTGATATATTATATTTATTGTATTGTGATTGTAACTTAGCGATATACATTGCTATTCTTGTGTTTATTGATAATGATATTTTGCTTAATTGAGCTTCATAAGTCCTTTTTCCACCGCTGGCTGCAACCGAACTCAACTGATGCCGATCATATATCGATACTTTTCTGATATATCTACTGACCCGATAACTTGCGCTCAACAGTATCGGGACAATGAAAAGAAGGTTGCCAGACAGCTTGGATCGCTTCTTGATAGTGATAGAAATCTTTTGCTTCATTTCAAAAGAAACTAGAAGTTATTTCATATGTTTTTTTATTGGGGAAGTCTATACCTTTCTGATATTCCATATTAGAGTACTCAGTTTTCGGCAATACTGCGTTTAATCCTTTTTTATTTTGGGTACAATAGTTTTTTGTTACTCCTTTTTAATATTTGCATATTCTCCACACAAATCAGGCAATCGCATGCAGACCGGGTATTAAATTGTACTACATAGAAGAGTTCTTAGTTTATTTTTCGCTTATACTTTTCCTTGCAATTCTCGCGCTTAAGTGCATTTTTGCGTTTAATTTGAATATTTATTTTGTTTGGCTTTACGAGTTCTTTAATATTCGCTTAATTGTTTGTCTCTTTACGATCGTCAACAGTGATAAAATTGTTAGTACTCGTAATCAAAGTGAGTAACAGTTTAAAAGTTACATAATAGACTGCAAAATATTTTGTTTGTTGATATAAATATTTATAAATTTTTTTGGTGTATATTGATAAGAATTTAAAATATATTGTGTATCTTCCCTACTCAATGTAGCTTGGCAATTGTATCCCTTGACTTAGACTCTTTATAGAGTACATTTTAAAATGCACAAATCAGAGATTAACAATGGAAACGATGTGCAACTTTCTGACTAGAGATTGGCGTGTTAATCACAGCCTTTATTATTGATTTTTCTGCCACTCATTAAGACCAACACGAAATTCCAGGCAGTTTTTGTAATAGCACGAAATGTCTGTCAAAGCCCCACTAACACAATGCTGCAAAATAAACAACTTTCCGATTAGAACAACACGAAACTTTTCCCATTAAACGAGGTTTCTGTTCTGTTTCTTTGCCGGCTAATGGTAGTTAAAAGCAATTGACTTTTACTTTAAGAATTATGCACAAGTGAAGCATAAAATTGAATTATTTTTAATTGAAATGTTATTTGCAACATTTAGCGCGAGAGATCCCTTTAAAATTGCAACACTTGGGTGCCCTTGCCTGTGACGTCGAGTCAATCTGACGGGACGCATCCGTCAACATCCTGTCGTCGACACGTCTAACATATTTCAATTTCAATTTCAATTTTCTGCCTCTGCACTAATGCAATTATTATAATTTCCGCACGTAAGTGAATGGATTAGAGGGCAGGTGCCCTTAACAGCTGGATGAGTTCCGTC